GTCATTCATTCGTTCGAACGTGGGTAACGAGATCTCTATCATTGAATCTGAAGCGTGCGAAATGTGGAAAGCCAAGTCGCAACAACGGAGAGTTACCCGAACAAGATCTCTCCTGAGGTTTCCACTAGAGAACATTCTTCCCCTTCTTCTCCGTATCGCGAAACTTAAGCAATTAACATTGAGCTCTCGTCTATCGTCTGGCACTTTACTATTACGCGCGGTATATATGCGCCGCGTACCTCCAGCATGAACCAGACAAATGAAAGCGTACGTCTCTTTTGTTTCTCGCTCGCGCACTCGGGCGCGCGAGACGGATCCCTCTTCATTATGCAGCCCGTCGCTGGTATACGGTGTAATTTATTTCTCTCGTTTGTTAGCCAAACAGCCCCGGCTGTGCCGCGCCGCGCCGCGCTGCCGCCGCGGCAAAGACGCCGTGGAGAAGCTTTCGTGATGCGCAGCGACCGCGACTAGGTTTATGCGGCGTTCCTCGTGTACGACGTTTCAAGTGCAACGCCACGCCATGCAAAGAGGTGCCAAGGGCGTGATATAGGACGTTTCGAATAGCGCTTAACCCTTTGAATTGAAATATTACAATTGCATTTTGTCGTGCGGGTCACAAGTCGAGGGGCGCGGCAACATCCGCGAGAAATATAATTCTTCGGAGTACGTTTGGAATACATTGCGATTGTATCGGAGCGAGAAAGACGCTCCGAAATCTCACGAAATCGTTTGAATAAAAATTCCATTGGCCGTGACAAGATTCTGGTATTTGTCTCGAATGCGCTATATACATATGTATGTCACGGTCGAAGCCCACTGGCTCTAAAAATCTGGCACATGTGGCGTTTCACGCTCTATAAACAATGCCATTGCTTTAGGCAGCTAGCTATAACTACGATTTTGTGTAAATATATATTTCGTCGAAACAAACAATAGCAATCCGCGTTTTTCAAATGTTAATTAAATCTTAATTAAATGTTCAACTAAATTATCTTTCTCCGAGTAAAATTTATCTCTTCGAATATTTTTAAATTTTTATTCGGAGAGGACTAAAAAGTATTTTACTTTTTATGCTTATTAAGTATGAAAAATATATTTACGTCTGTTATTTAATTAGCAAATATGCAATTCTCAGGCAACTTTGAGGAAAAAATATTCGCGATCGATCCGCATTCCCGTGACCTGTCACGTGCCGGCAGCCGCGGAAATCGCGTTGGTTTCGTGTATCGTGCTCCAGTTTTTTTCACGCTCGGGCGGCCGCGACGCGACGCGGGCTTTCGCCGTTAACCGAAATTCCTCAAACGTAACGCCACGTAACGGGAATATTGCCAAGAATATATGGCATCGTGCGTTCTATTCATAGAACGACGATGCCTTCGTTGCTTCGTTGGACCTCCAGATGCATCGGTCGTCATGCGACCGGCCGAAGTTCTCCCGCAAGTGAGAGCGATAGTGCGTGCGCTTGGCAGGACCCGCCGAGACGCGGTCGATGTGTATGCGCGTATCGGTACACGGTTGAACTTCGATGCACCATCGTGTACGTGCACTTGGCAGAGAAGTTCTCCCGCGTGGAAATTCGTCCGGTTCCGGGTTGGCTACCACGAATTAAGGATAATCCTGATCGGGGTTGTGTCATCGCGCGGAGTTGCCTCGAAATCGCGATGACACACTACTTGTGCGCTTTCTCCGCGTATTGTTTACCCGACGTTTGCCAAAGCATTTTCTCGGCTGGCTATAAATGGAAAACTCGTAGAATTTCAATACAGATATGATAGAGTAATGCGCGGAATGTTGGTCGTTCGAAAATGTATCGAACGTCAAACAGCCTCTGTGATATGACATTAGATGGAAGGTCACCGTATTGTGGCCCACTCTGCCTCGCGGCGAAGTCATTCATCTATTTTCGTCCGTACGCACGAACCTAACAGCTTCTAGCTCGCGGCTCGCGGTCAGTCTCGTGTGAGCCCCGCGACGTGTCGGATGTAGAACACATTCGCGCTCGAACTTGAGCTTGACTGCCGAGTCCAGAACATTAGTCACCGATGGGTCGCGTCATTCGTCTCAAGTAAAACGGGCAGCGGCGATCACGTGACGCGCGGGACTCTCGGCAGACTAATTGTGAAACTCGTCGCGGCATTTAGCCGACGCCGAACTTAAAGCCGCGAGTCGCGGTCGCCTTAATCACTCATGGGCCGTATTGTCCATCTCAACTGGCGCAGTAAGTGAATGGGCACGCGTGCCCACGCGCGCGTGGGCTAACTGCGCGAACGCCGCTCAATCGACCCTTCGATCTAAATTACGAGAGCGTGAGCTGATATTAACCCGTTTTTTATTAAACGAGAATCTAGTATCTATATATTTCGGAAAACTTATGAAAGAGCATAATTCAAGCGTAATTAAGATTAATGATTTCTTGACCTTAAACGCAGCTATCCAAAATTCAACAGAAAGTTTTGAAGATGCTAATTAAAATGTTAAAGATGCTAGTGATTAAAAACTCAAATTCTTGGACAAGTTATATGATTACGTACTTTATTCTAATATCGTGGCAATATAAGACAGTGCATAATTAATAAATTCAAAACATCGAATCTCTCTTTCGGTAATTAAGTTATACCGTTTTATACGGGCCCACACTTCTGTTTTCAAAATTAATAAAAATAGAGATCTGTTAATAGCTCTAGAACAGGCGAACTGCAGAGTGGCTCGCTCCTGCAGTATGCTATATGTTGTTGATGTTATTAGTAGCGTGTCGAAAGAACCGACGCCTGCTCGTCATGCCTTCAAGATTCCTTTGGCGATTTCCCAAAGACGCGACGCGTCGGCGGAGCTTCCGGGACGTGTAAAACCCGGCAAAATCGAATCGATCTTTATCGCGCGAGCAAACGGGGGCAAGGTGTATTCTTTCGGAAACTGAGACCGTCAATTTCTCATCTCTATTCTCCCGCAGCTGTCCTCTTTCTCCTTTTATACAGTATTCACGACACCCGCGTAATATTTATCGACGACCCGTAGTAACTCAACTTCGCTCTCTGGCATCCCGTTATTTAGCCTTTGTGGTGTAAAAGAGCCGCTAAACATGAGGAGAAACTGCGCATACTCTTGCAGGAAAATCAATCGTGCCGCTTTAATTTCGTTTGAGGCGAGATCGATCGGGAGAGTCGGTTTCAATTGTAGATATTAATACGTTTGATCTTATAAATTCAACATTAGCACGTACACGCATCCGTGACACGTAATTCCTGTGAATCGATCGTATTTTTGTGGCCCTCTCGACCCCATCTCGGCCCGCGCGCTATATTCGGCAGTATATTTGGAATAGCATTTCATTTTCGTCATTAAGCAGGATTGTCCCCGTCCTCGTCCTTTGACCGCTCTCTGCGGGTTTATTATCTCTTTGATATTAGCACTCAATGACGCACGTTGTCGTATTCTGTACTTTCATCTATCTCGATAATTTCGATGTTGTTTGTGTGTCGTTAAATTTTATGTAACTATGATTTTAAACATTACGGTTTTTTTGTGAAAACGAAGGCTGTGTTTACATAAAGTATATATTTTATAAAAAGAGATTACGAAAGGATTAAATATAGTGACATATCGGTAGTTTATTAAATTATACATTGTAAATTCTCGATAATAAGTTTCATGTAGCGGGAAATTTAATAAGAAAACAAGCTACCGCTATTTTATCTTCTCGTTGACATTTTTAGTCGTAATTTTTCATAATTGCTGAAATTAATTGACATATTAATTAAACGAGATCACGTATATCGCTTCGAAATTAATGAATCTTTCGAGTTTTATCCAATAATTAATTAAAATGTATGTAAAAAGACTAATCGGGCGACACGAGTCCGTATTTCAACTGACATTCCTTTAAATAATTTCACGATGTAATACGAGAGATGCGGTAGATCTATGCCACGGGCGAAATACACGGTCCATCATTAATGTCAGAAAATACTCTGATTGCACCCCTCGAAAATCGCCGATTGATTTATTGATATGCACGTAACACCGTACAAAGAGAATTTTCGAAGACTTCGCGCTGCGTTTAATCGTCGCCGAATTGGGAATGTGTCAACTTCTCGAAATCTACAACGGATTTCCGAAATCGACAGTCAGCAGTCAATAACGTGCGCACACGAGAAGCTTTTTGTTCCGCTTCGTACAATGTGTCCGTTCTGGAAATCGACGTATCCTTTTTGTGGCGGATGTCACGATGCCATCACGGCGCGTATGTCGAACTTTCGCAACGTTCGGACAGATTTTCGTCGACAACCAGTCAGCGGAGTGTCCGTTACCGGGCGAAGACAAACGTAATTTGAAGGCCCCTATGCGTGCCCGGCTGGCCGAGCGGCGTCGGCGAGTTTTGCCGTGACCCGGTTTTTCCTTTCCTGTGGTCATACGGACGCTAGTTAATGAACAAATAATGCTGATTATTAACAACAGGTTCGCAAAATTCATTATTGGTACCAAAGGCTTGTAATTGAAAACGTATTTAACATAGAACGCGTAATGAACGACCTGATTTAACTGGGCTTTTGCCGCATCGTTTAATTTTTAATAAATTTCCATAATTGCAAGACACGATTACTTAACGTTACGTAAACGAACGTACTTGCTTTTATAAGCGGTTTAAATATATCCGCAGCGTCGCCTTCAATCAAGAAGTGACTTAACGGATTATGTTGTCCCATCTATGCAACCGCAACGCACCGAGTAAGCCGATAAGTCGTCTCGGCGAATACATCGATCGAAAACCATCGCCAAAGTAATCGCAGCGTTTCACGATAGAATGATCGGGCTACGTGTGAGTTCCACAATTTTTTGTGGATGAATTTGATAGAACTTTTCTCTGAGCGAGCGCGCGTCGTTCAACTCGAAAATTCGCGAGGACGAGAAATCGGCGAGCCAGCAAGTCTAATCCTCCTCTTTGACGACGCATATATCCCGCCACGGTTCTGACCGGTGTCGAACTTTTTTTTCTGTTGCAGAGCCGAAGAAGGAAAAGACTGAACAGAATGCGAATGGCGCGATATCGCCGAATGGCGAGCCGCAGGCCGCCAATTTGGGCACGGCGGTGCCGGTCCCGGGCCCGGCCCCGGATGCCGGGAACCAGCAAAAGCCGAACAGGCCAAACACCCTCGACCCCAGGGTGATAGCCAGGAGGCTGATCTTGTTCGACAGTGAGTACACACTCGCAAACTGGCGAGCATATCGATATGCGCGTCGCGTGTCGCGTGTCGTCGTCGCTCAGAGAAAAGTTCGGCGAAATCGAAGAGAGGGAGGGAAAGTTTGGTCCAAAAAGGACCAAAAACTTACTAAAAATATGTTTTTCAAATAATTTCCTTTAATAGGAAATTAAAATAATATTAAAAGTAAGACATACACGAAACATATGTAATATATTTAACAAATGCTGTCGTATATAATAATTAATTTTATGGATTATGTAACTCAGCGTTTATGTTGTCCGAACTATATATCTTATATTTTTCCCTCACATATTTTCCTCACGTAATTCTGATCTATATAGATCTGTAATTACTTTAAAAACTTGAACTTTTTTGGCATATAAAAGATCCACAAGTGCATCAGCCAATATAAACTTGGATTTATATTCGTTATGCAGCTATCGTTGTGCAACTTGTAGAAACTTTCGAGTTTTCTCTTCATCCTGAGGGTTGTCAGTTTATAAGCCATAATAACATCTCCTTATTATGCGCTAACTCGACGAAGAGCGATGGGTTCTCGCTTCCCGCGAATACGTGCTGCACGAATGTAATTATTGTCGAATAAACACGATGCAGAAAGCTCCTTTATTAGATTTAGTTGCCTTTTTGACGACGCTCGAAGTTATTTACATATTTTTCACGTTTTTTGGAAATTGGGAAGCGAAAAGATAGCAGACGTGCTTATGTATTATACGAGAGCCATGTCTATCTCTTATTATAAAATTATTATATTCTCGAATTGGTTACAATAGTATTGAAATATAATAAAACATATAATTCTCCGATCTTTACATTCCATCGATACCGTATGTAATTCCATCTAACATATTGAAATTTTTATTAGCAATTCGGATTGTTTAATTAGTATAGACTCCTAAACGATACGTTTTAGAATACAATGTCAAGAACATAATATTTAGACTAACATTTAAGCAGTTTCGTATCTGTTCTTTTTCGTCTTCATATTTTTTTGAAAGAAGAGAAAATAAAATTCTTTTTCAGAGAAATAAAATGCTGAGGAAAATTTCTGCGAGAGAGATCAGATACGCTGTTATCTGCAGCGTCACGTTTTCAAAAAGCTAATAACGGCGTGCATGCCCAGAAAATACATTTATTCAAATAAATTTGAGATTAATCGCGCTGACACGCACAGCGTAAACTCGCACGATAACGTGGCCCGTACGTTGCCTAAAATTTTCGCGATAAATTTCGACCGGGCTGGAATCAAATATGTGTGATCAAACACGGCTGGACGATCCCCGGGGAATGCGTGGTAGCCGAAGTATCTCGCCTGGTAACCGCCTGGAACTTCGTCCTTTTGTGTCAGAATTTAGGTGCGCGACATTATCAAATGGCCAGCAGCGCGAGAGCGCGCGCATCCACCGACTTGTTTAACATTCCAACCGATACTGGTCGTGAGTATAACGACGGGTCGTTATTCATAAAAAATACTCCGGTCTTTATGAAATTTCTAAAATAAAAAAAAAACGCCCCGCAGTCGCAAGCCGTTAAGCGGCAGCGCCAAATTAAAAATTCCGCTCGGCGTTCCGGACGCGACGGCAACGGGATTTAATAATAAATAAATTCGGCGAAGCCGGCAAACGGTGTTTCGCAAGTTTCTCATCTATAGCAGCTGCAACGAGCATGAGCTCGTGGCATTCGTTCGTTTGCCAAGATATTGTTGCTTCTGTCACCGCGAGATGAACCACGTTTCTCGCAACAACTGGCTTCGATGCAACTTTATGGGACCGAGCGCGTTCCTTTTTCGATCGCATTGAATGCGGCGGTTTTTAGGCAACTCGAAAATAATTATCTAGCACTGCGTCTTTTTTACTTTAACGTTAAGAAATAAATGCGTCTTACTTTTGGACGGAATAAAATTAATTAGCACAATAGTGGCATGTCTAGATGTACGATTATCTCGATATCTCGTGATATTACAAGCCTTGTTTTTCTTTCTGTTTCCAGTGGACAAGGGGGTGCTGGATCAGAGCGCCGACAATCAGCAGGTAATCGAGAGGTGTTATCCATTACCGCCTCAGAATACCCTGATGCTGTCGGAGCTCCCAGAACCGCCGATTCCTTTGAGTGAAATCGGCCCTATACCACCCCCGCCCATGTTCAGCTCCCCGAGTCCCACTTTACTGGCGAGACAACGGCAAATCCCGGTCTCGGACTGCGAGGACGAGGGTAAGTGTAACGAAACATTAATGCCGCGGAAGAGAAGAGTATTGGAGCAATTAATTGGAGCGATTAGTCACATGACAGAACCCCTTCGTCGCTTATTAGAGTCTCCTCTGTTGGCACGGTTCTAAGATGACCGATAAATTGATAACCGACGTTCCATATAAGCCAGTAACGCGTGTTCCTGCCGTTTCTGTTATTCTGATTTTCAATATCGCGATATAAAGTTATAAAATTACGGTAACGATGCATATCATTATGAAATTGTTTAATACTGTTTATCTCATTACTGGGAATTTAATTTCGTTGTTAATCATCGCTCTGCGCTAATTGATGACCGCAATTTCCTGTTGTGTTGATGCACTTGCCTCCGTGATGCGTGCTTAGTTATTGACTATCAATTGTAATGATTGTGTCATTGAATATCCATAAATTAATCTCAACACAGCGCGTAATTATATGAATCTGAAGCAATCGACACGTCTATATGTTTATATAATGCATTTATTTATTATGCACATATCACTGAATTTGTTTTAAAATATATTTATTTAAATTTACCGAGCTTTAATAAACGACGAAATAGTCATCCGATCTTTTTGCGTGCAAGCTCGAAGCTGTTTAATTTCCACATATAAATCGTGAAGTGATTGCGAGTTTTCTTGCCGCTTGCTCCGATAGATGAGGAAGACGTCGATGTGGAGGAGGAGGACGACAATATGTACGCCTTCAGGGTGTCGCAGCCAGATCCGGCGATCGACACGTCTCGCGTTGAAGAGATACCGGCGAAGGAACCTAAGTTCCACGCGGTACCGCTGAAGAGCGTGCTGAAGAAACGGGGCTCCGGAAGCGGACCCGGCACGCCGCAGAACACGCCGACGCAGGAGAACAGGCCGCTGACACTTCGCCAGGAGCTCCACGCCTCGTTCAAGTTAGTGCCCTCCTGCGGTTCGCAGAAATCTCTTTACACACTTTGCTCGAATATATCCATCGCTGCAGAAGCGTTCGGGAAGGGAATTCGGAGATCCGAACTGTTAAAATTACTCCCGTTGGTCCAAAGTATTCGGAAAAGAAGGAAGTCACAAAATACCGTTTATATAATTCGTGATAAATTAATGATAAAAAATGTAACGCGACTGTACATTTTTATTAAAATCTTTTTTTGGCTAAAAGAATATAATTTGTGGAAATTCGGAGTGTAAGAATGAAGAAAGTCCAAAATTTATGAGATTATTTCATTCTTGAAAACAATTATTTTTAACTCATCTTTTGCATTAAAGATTTAAAACTTTTGATAGGAAAATACATCGTCTTTTTCGTAACGCATCACTAAATTATTGGAATCGTAAAAGTAGCTCGTAGATCGTATCACTTTGAACTAACACTTTGCAACGGACTCGTGACAGCATTTAGAAGAAACAAAAAGAGCAACGAATGCAAAGCGCCGAAGGTATTCGTGAATTCCTTTCGAACGCTTCGCACCGAAACTCGAAACTCGCCGTAAGAATCGGGCGCTCTTCGAGACTCTGGCACCCGGCACAAATTCGCCGGGATAATTCGCTTCCTACGTCGACGACTTTTCTTTAATTAAAAATCGCTTCTATTCTCAAAAGCCCGCTTTCTCGCGGGTCTCTCGTTGTTTGATATCGAAAGCATCGGATCTACAAGCAGGCTTCGAGTGCACTGCTCCACCGTGGTATTATTACGCTCGGCCTTAATGAAAAGTGTAAAAAGCAGACGTCGAAGAGCCCTAATTTTTTCCGAACGTAGTCTTTTAATTTCCCGTCTCGTTGCTTGTAGTTTTCTTGGCAGCTTACGTCAACTGCCCGAGTGAATAAATTTCTTGAACGACGTCAATCCAAATTTATACAATAGCAAGTCTCATTTAAAATATAATTTGGTATTAAGATGGCTTTAAGGATATTAAGTGTACAGATATTAGGCTTCTAGAATATTAACTTGTTGACTGCCACAGTGGTCATCCGTAATCAGTGCTCGACTTTTCATTAACGTTCTGGTAATTACTGTGATTAGAGTTATCAAATTTTTTTTAAAACACTTATAAAAAATGAATACTAGTAGTTGATATAATAATTTTGAATGACATAAATAGCTAGGTAACAATGTAAAGTAAAAAATATATAATTTATACTATCCGAAGATAAAGTTTTATTTACTGATATTGACACAATAGTTTATCATTCTATATTTATGATAATGAAAATTCTGCTATGGCGTACACGATAAGAGCCATACAAATGGTTGGGCAAACAACATATTAAGCGTTATCTGGCAACGTTACGATGAAATACGAGACGGGATTATTGAAGAGACGTACGCTCTCTTAGGCGAGTACTCATGGAATGTAGTTCGTGCACCCGTCATTAACATGTCAGTCATTAGTAAAGGATCGTATTTTTCTTATGCTTAACCAGAAGGCCACCGTTGAGGCCTAGGATGAGAATATGGTAATTGGGCATTGGTCTAACTAAGCATGTGTGCAAACCGATGGTATATATGTGTATATATATACATATACGTATATACACATATGTACACATATACGTATTATGTATATTGTCTTTACGTCTGTGTCTTACGGCGCGGTTGATCGCGAGAGAACCATGATGTTCTAGTCTCTCCTTCTCTCTTTCTCAGTGACTCCTTTCGCGAGTCACGCGAGCGCCGTGAGCATGGCAATGCGCGTCCGACGTTTTAAGCATGAGAAAACCTTAGGGAAACCCATGAAAAATCTCTCGTCTTATGCTTGTCACGCCGCATCATTCGATCACGCACGACACATCACGTGAGTCGAATATCGCGCGAGGCGCGAGAGACGGGACAAGTTCGTTATTTTTCTTTTTCGCGCGATCGATCCATCTCGCGAGTCGCGATCCGTCATCGGTCGACGGTATCGCTCGCGAAGTACCTTGCACAATTTGTGTAAGTCGGGGACAATTACGAATTACGACGAGAGGAAGTGTCGGTTAACTATTCCGTTCCTGTGAGTATACGACTTCCCTCCCCCCTCTCCCTCGATTTTCTCGGTGTATTTATCTTCGGTATTTTTAAATTCGCCGATTATTTCAATTGTATTTCGTATGTCCCTGTTAATTCCGTTATACGAAAAAAAGCATGTAGCCTTTTCTATATGTTAATAATTATTTCTGTGATATATACCTGATCTCTTTAAATATGTTCTATGTGATGATAGATAAAGCCTTATATTAATTATGATTGCTATAATGAATATATTACATTCTTGTCTGTAACTTCTTCTCTGCTGTACCACAGTTCTGTAGAAAACAGAGGAAAACTTGCGAACAAGATATTATCCAGTATTTTTAATGAATACAAATTGTATTAACTTGTCGATTACTTTCCAAGATCCGTACGTATCTGTGGGAGTTTTACTTATTTACTTATTTAAAAGTTAATGTTTTCTTATTGGTATTGAGTTAAAATGTATATATTTCACATCGCTTTACGCGAATCTTAAGCACGTTACAACAAGAAACGACAGTACTGCCGGAGCTTTTTGTTCATTATTACATTATTGCAGCTTTGATGCTTTAAACGCGCCGGCTTTTTTAACTTTGAAAATATTTGACCCGAGGCACCTCGCTTCTGACGTCACGCACTCCGCTTGAAAAAAAAATGATAAAAAATTTAGTATTAAAGCAAAGATATAATTGGCACAGGTTATAATGTGCCCCACGTTTGGACTTTCACGAAATTCTCGATAATTTCGCAATATTAATAATCCTCAGGAACGTGAAGCGCAACACAAAGAGAAGATTAAAAGTCCCGACAAATTTTGGAAGTTACTGTAATATTAAATGCTAATATTATGAGAGATTCTCACGATAAACTGCCACGAGGAAGGGAAAAAAACTTCTTGTCAAGAACACCGCGCACACAGCCAAGAGAAACGCTCGTGTTAAATATTCGTGAAACATTTGCCATCTCCTAGCGCCCCTCCTATTCTTGGGGGAAAATTTGCGATAACTTCCAAAGTTTAAATCTAAAAATTCTCAATGCAAGCAGCATCAGCAAGGCAGTACGCTTACGGATCGATCCAACAACTGCGGGTTCGAACACGTTGAATGCGCCGAGTCGCGATAATTTCCATATTGCAATTACTGTCCGGTCTAGGATCTTTCCACGTTTGTTGCAAATTTTGACGATAAATTTTCCCTGTAACGTCGACATTAGATCGTACGCGACGTCTGATACGAATAATAAAGTTTGCGTATATGTAACATTCAACGTGTCGAACTTAGTAACAGCCGGACTTGGATGGACGGGTGAAATACGCGCGAGAGTCTTGTTTCACATGGGGTGCCCCGTTGTTCTCGACGTGTCACACACGCCACTATGCATCTTTCCCCTCGTTCCTTCCCTCGCCCCGGCATATACCCCATTCGCATCTCGTTCTCTTATAGCACCGTAGAGTAGAACATTGGTTCAACGTAGCATCAACCAGCGATTGCGTACCACCGGTGCCCTGTATATTAACGATCTCGCACGTCCCCGTGCCTCGTTCTTTCAGCAGTCGACCGGTCAGATTCGGCCTCGCTCTACCCTGCACGTTGGAGAACAAGGAGAACGCGAGACCTTACGTCATCCGAGAAGACGCGGACGGCGACTCCGGCGACGGACAAGTCCTCTACAGGGATGATTACGACGACGAGAAAAGTGAGTCGCTCCGTTATCAATTTTATTAAATATTTAACCCGCGAATTGTCCGGCAATCGTCCCACAAAAACGCCCACTGATCGAGATTCGAGATCGTCACTGTCGTATCCCGTTTATTCTGCCATCACACGGTCGCACATCGATCGAAAGGCAATCTTGTGTCACACACATTCTAAAGTAATTATTAATTATAATTAAAATATTGAAAATTATAATGAAATAGTTATTTATGTTTGCTTAATTGATGCTTAATCATTAATAATAAATATTAATTATCATTAGTCATACCAATTAAATTAATTTTTCGCAAACTACATAAAATATGTACCAGAGAACATAATAAGCGAGCAGCAATATTGTGGCACAGTTTATATCGCAATAATCAATGTAAATAACAGAATGAACTTTGCAATTCGATTTTTCCTGGATGTTTTTGGGAGCACGTGCTTGCCTCTCGGCAATCAATTAGGCAGATAGTAACTTCATGTTGGTCCGCGGAATTTTGATGGACGCGCGGCTCCACTCGTTGATGAAAAACTACCAGCCGCGATCGTGCCGATCGATGAGACTCTCGGTGAGAGTCAATCGTATCGTTTTTTGCGAAAATAAATATGCTCCGCGGCTCTCAAAGATCCGTATCAAGATTCCGCCGCAAGCAGAAGCTTAAATCGCGTCGCGCCCGTGTGCATCGCGATAAAAATGCGCAGTCACGAATGCAGTTACGCGAATACGAGGGCCATGTTTATTTCACGCCCCCGCTCATGCAATTTTCCATCGAGATATGAGGTTTCAAACTCCCGACGTGAATTCGAATTTGAATGGACTTCCGAACGAATTCATAAATAGTCCCGCACTTCGTGTATTCCCGATAACGTTCTCCCGCGAGCGATAAAAGCGAGACGCGGCGGACCGCTCTAAATCTCGAAGATATAGCTGGAGAAAAAAGCTGAGTCAATCACGGGAAAACTTTGTGGAACATGGAAATAAAAAAAAGAAGTTCAAGGAAACTCGGCGGATGGGTTTTGAACATTTACGGAGGTTGAGAAAATTCGAAAGAAAGTGGAAACTTCGATGTGACGGCGTCAAATAATCAATATAAGCTCTTCTCAAAGAACTTAAGATTCATACTTTTGCATTTAGCACTTTGCTGGATGAATCTGTTCGTAATTCATGGCACTGAATGCTGGACAGAGGGAATTCGCTTAATCGTTTAGACGTTTAAAACGTTTAAGACCAAATTTTAATTTCTCATGTTATAAGATCTTTTTTACTCGTACTTCTTGATTTCCTCCTCAGCTTTAAGAAATTGAGCATAAATGATTAATTATTCGTAACGGGAGGATTTATATAATCGGCGTGTGGGAAGAGGATAATCTCTCTGCCGAGCTTAGCGTTTATAGCGCGACCACTCGCAGATTTAACGTCTCACGGGAACATTCCGTTGATTTTCTCACAATACATCTGCGCGATTGCTCAACACTTTAAATCAGTCTTCAGCGACGGGACTAATACTCGCGCTGGGTCGTGCGTGTGTGTGTGTGTAAGCTGTCGCTTAAGAGGTGGTTTATATTAATCCCCGAAAACAGCTGGCAAGTTGCTCAGTTTCTAGTCGTTCTTCCGTCCGGCTTTATCGCGACGCAGAGTTTTGCTCGCTAAATTTTTATTGAAACGCGTAAACAATCGTAAAGTTGCTCTTTCGAGTTTAGTCGATTCCTCAATTCATACATCCGCTCGTTTCGAATTTGTTCTCGCGAAATGATCGAATGAATGATGGTTCCCGAAGTTCGATTTTCGAGACCACGCGATGTAGAACGGCCAGTGCGAAGCCCGACGGTAATTAATACCGTCGAAGCGACGATTCCGATCCCTTCGGACACGCTTCGTGCGCTTTTCGCCTCGAAATCGCATTTGTAGAAGAAGAGAGATAGAGTGAGAGATACGATGCTGTCGATATGGACCACGTCGACGGCGTCGTCGGTTCTCCGCGCCTCGATCGAGCCGGCCGAACACGCCCCGCTGCTGTTGCATCGCAGCTTCAGCTGCTCGTTGATCGCGGAGGGTAATTAATCAGCAATCGTGACGTGCAATCGGACGCGAAATTAATTAACATCGATGCGCACTTCAATGGGCGTCTGTGCGAAATTCACTCTAGACTTTATATGCCAATTTAAATCCATGATGTACGAAATAAAAACGAAGGAATCATTTAATACGTTAAATGATTATCTTGAAACTTATTTCCATTTAATTTAATTTCCGCGAAACGTGATTTATCTCGTAATAAATAAGCGACGTTTTTTTTTCTGTGCATCGATATACGGCGAGTAAAAAAGCAGATTAACGAGCTAAATCCAGATTCGACGCCTTCTGTCTCGACAGGCCGTTTGGCAGCCAAGATCGCGCGTAAGGAATCGCTTTCGCTGAAACTCGCCCTCAGGCCGGATAGACAGGAGCTCATCAACAGGAACATCCTTCAGCTGCAGACAGACAATGAGAGGCAGGAGACGAAAGAGGCCATTGGCGCCAAGCTTATCAGGTGAGAGAATTGTCAAATAGCGTCCACATGACTGCGTCGTGATGAATAAGAGGATTTCGAATACGCGTTTGTCTGTATTTTCGTCAAAGCTTTCGTCATGGTTGAAAATTGGCACGTCATAACGAATCCTCTTCGTCTAATTTAAAATTACGTTTAACTAACAATCTACTTCAAGGAATATCGAGGGATTCTCTGGTGAGTTAGGAAATCGTACAAATTTTTACTTGAATAGTCACGCAGTTGATTATGAAAATACAATTACTGTAAAATATCTTGGCGCGATGTAATGAAAGCTGTGTAAAATCAGTCAGGAGATAGAATATCGATAAAGCTTCGTTATCTTCTTGCCTTCAATATTCGCGATCCGGATAATTTCTCTGTTATTCTTCCCTCGTCAAAGAATTCATTATTAAAATCATTTTTCAGTGATAATGGAATTGCGTATATACAATTTCTGGGATATTCATTTCTTCTCCGCCTTTTTTTTCCACCGACGTCAGTCCGTCACGACTGATCCGGCTCATGTGAAAACGAGCTTGAAATAACAGCTGTCTCTCGAAAAGATTACGCGCGAATAATAGGACGAGTGGTCTCGCGCGGTGAATCACATTGTTTGCACAAAGCGGATGCCTCGCTTTCTCCCTCGAATATCTCTCTCGCTCGCGAAGGAAGATTAAAGCGGCCGATGAACTTGCATTGATTCTCGTGCCATTTTCATTTCAGGCGGCTGAGCATGCGGCCGACCCAGGAGGAACTTGAGGAGAGGAACATTTTGAAAAGTAAGTTCGCTCTATTAGTTGCCGTAGTCCTTTAATTATGAACAACGATTGAGAATTTCGAGATCGATACGTTATTTTTGAAGCTAAATTTAAAAGAAAACTAACTAAATTTTATTAGAAAAATTATCTACGTTTTAATTCGGAATAACAATGTTTATAATCGAGTATGTTTTCCGCTTTTGCGAAATCGAATTGCGAGTCAAATTCTATTTCTATTTTTTTCTTCTGCTTTTCAGAACAAAGTCCCGCCGAGGAGAAGAAGCAGAAGGAAGAGAAGAAGCGCTATCTCCTGCGGAAGCTGAGTTTCCGACCGACTGTTGAAGAGCTTAAGGAGAAAAAAGTAAAATGAAAAAAGTTCCTTCGTAAATCTTTGCGGAAATTTTTGTTGCGCACCTTGTATTTTTTTTTTTTTTTTTTTTTTTTTTTAAGTTTGAGATTGACTATACCAAAAAATGCATTGTCGAATTTAAGGTCAACTGATATTTTATCGTGCTTCATTTTGCGGAGATGTTATTTTCTTTCTGATAAGGGTCTTGCAATTTATGATAAAGCTATAATAGCGAAAACCAATATACTTATCTGTTCCCTTTCATTCCACAGATCATCCGGTTCAACGACTATATCGAGGTAACGCAGGCTCACGATTACGACAGAAGAGCCGACAAGCCTTGGACACGGTTAACTCCGAAGGACAAGGCTGCTATTAGGAAAGAGTTAAACGAATTCAAGAGCTCGGAGATGGCCGTTCACGAGGACAGCCGACACCTCACCAGGTACTTGACGCTCTACGAATTTTAGAGCGGAACTACTTTAAAAGCACAGTTGGCACCAAATCAGCATTTTGCTAAAGTGTCTCGCGAAATATATGCAGCCTTGTAAAAATCGAATTAGAGCACGTATGAAACTATGAAACCATCTTGAATTACCAAAACGAAACTATGCTCGATAAAATTTAATTATCTAATGGTAGCCCTCTCGAAGATTAAACTCTTCGAAGTTAGTGAAAACTTTTGTAATTATCGCATATATAATTGGATGACTTTTGATATTTTTTATTAATGTACTTTATATATATATATATATATTTTATAGGGCTTTCATAATAATATTATTGATTTTCAATTGCAGGTTCCATAGGCCATGACAATTGCAATGTGTTGAGGTGCTACAGTGTGGTGCGGGTATACGTGAAGGTGCAGTGTGGTGGCTTCGTGTTGAGGCTGGGTGAAGAAAGAAGGAAGAAAGAATCGGCTAATCGTTACTTCCGGATTTAAGGCCGGAACGCGCGATACTCGTCCGATCGGTGATTTCTTTGACGTTGCTGCGTCGTGTCGTTCGTCGTTGTCGCCAAACATCATCTACTGGCACTTCTTCCATCATCGTCATTTATACACGTCAACGATAAACGCCACTATGACGTCGACGAAGATTGTGATAGGGTGACTCGCCGCCCCGTCGAAGAGGACTTGGCGGGTCGCTCGCCGATTTCTTTTCATAAGGGTCGTTCACACCCGTGCTTGGCCGAACAGTTGTTCGCGCTTTCCAACATATATCCAACTACTCTTCATCTTTGTATCTTCGACACTGATCTCGTTATACTACACGCGTCGAGGTGTTTATATTATCAAGATATCTTGAAAATATTCTTAAATCTTTGCGCGATAAATTCTCAAGTAGATACGCTACGCGCGAGTATCTCTTTCCGCATTCAACGACATCATTGAAGCTTAAAACTACGATCTGTCTCCTTCGGGTTCAGCTCTTGAAAGCTTGCCGTTGTGAAAATCAAAACGCTGTATAGTAAGTAAGACTTTTTTATCGAAACGCTCACGTGTGTCCGCATGTTTACGCTGAATAAGATCGGTAGTCATTTTTAATTACATATCTTATCTCGTTCATCGACATTTCTTGTTATGAATTTTTTTAAAGTTTTTCTTTGTTGTATAATATATTTAAGAATTATGTGAGACGTGAATACACGTCTGTCACGGATGTATTTTAGTGATAAAAAGATTATGTACGAGGGAAGCGCCGCGTGTCACACGTATATCAATGCGTGAGAACATGTAGATTAATCGCGTGCAAATTAACCATGTTTAAAATTAAGCATGAGCCTTCGGCGTAATTCTCTGGACACTACGAGCGCGCGTGTGAACATACCCTTAAACATGTAAACATCATTTTGCAATCAAGCTAGCTCATCAGTGTCACCTGGCATCGTTGTATATGTAAATGTCTCTCAAGTTTCGAGCCATTATAAAACAGAGATATGTGATATGTCTCGTTGATATCACGAAAGGAAAGAATACTCGAATCCTGTAATATTCAAGGATCAAACGGGAGATACATCACATTACAAGCGATTTGTCTCGTAAATAACGTCGAGTAAAGTGAGTTCCGTTTAGTTAAAAAAAAAAAAAAAAAAGTTTTAGTATTAATATTTTTATACGTTGACGAATGAACAGCAGAGATTTTCCGCAAAATCATTTCTCGATATAACCCTCGTTTTTAATTATTAAGATTATTCGGCTGACGTCCGAAAATGTGATTTACGATAATTCCATGTTCTCACGATTTTCCCGCGGTCCGCGCAGAGAGTATTCATTGCTTGAGACTTTACTAACACTATTGCGTACATAGTTCGTTATAAGCTCTTCGTATACACCATGCGAGGAATGAAAACAGCCATTCAGTGTCTACGACAATCGGTCGACTGCTCGATCGACAAAACTGTTTTCCTTTACTGCCAGGTATCACTCTCTCGTGGGGCTGCCTTGAGGAGCAAGCGCTTACGATTATTATCTAAAAAAAAAAAGGAAAAAAATAAAATTGGACGTACTCCGTTCGTGGGAAATCAGAAATGCATTGTGCAATTAAACTTTGTACAGAAATTAGATAGGGTGTACATTAGTGACTATTATTATCATCATTGTTATATCGATAATATCGCTATAGGGACGCTCTATGGTCCTCGTTAATTTCGATCGCGTGTGCGCGCTTTAATCGCGGCAGTGTTAACAAATTCAGAGCAGATACGCAGGTCGGTTGTTGTTCCGTATTCGTTGAGTGCGAATAAATTCACGATAAAATCTCGTTAAAAAGAAAGTGGTTAAACGCATTTACGATAAATACGTACGTTTACTGTGTATTTTGAAGGATACGTTTACTTCAATGGCCCGGTAATAGAAGAAAACTATATCGTTAAAAGCCCGGGATCGCGCCTGAATCGGCCATTTATTATCAGATTAATTTATGCCCGCATCAACTGCAGCGGAACATCAACAATAATTACTCTGCTCATGTAAAAGCAATTTGATGGGTCAAGTGGATTGTAGTTCTAAGTTATAGATCTGTCTATAATACTGACGGACAGAAGAAAAAAATTGAATTAGGCAGAATTAGCGCTAACTGACGCCCGGTGATGACCGGCTCTTAGTATCGAAATTCGTTCAAGTCCGTTGTTCTCAACAGAGAATAGAACGAGGAAAAAGAGTAGTCGCATTACAAATCGCCATATTGCGCGCAAATTTGTATCTAGATTCTTAGCAGATCGAAAGAACGAAGTCCAACGACGGAAGAGGAAAAAAAGTAATGGGTAAAAGACACGAAGACACGTGCCTCGATGTGCGATGTCTTGCACGCTTATCTCTGGAAGCTTCTTGCATCCCTTTCCCTGCTTATCCTACCCCAGTTATGCAAAACCGACCCTCCTGCTCACGTCAACGCGACGGAGGTTCGTCACACCTCCTTGTTTTGGAGAACCGGCGAGCGAAACAAAGAAAAAAGAAACAAAGAGATCGCGAGCTACAGTCTTGCGCGACAGGCGGAATCTACGGCAGCGGTGAGTAAAACGAAGTCGTGGTCGACAGTCTACTTTCCTCTCCTCGTTTAGAAATCCTAGTTTTTAACGATCGTCCAATGGGGTGAGAGGATCGGTGTGTAATGTGTCGATCTTTCTCTTAACCCGTCGGTGAACTCAGCTGTTCGATATTAATTCGTCAACTTCGAGGTCGTCGAAGGTATAAAGGACGTGACGCCTCTACCTTCGGGAAATACCACGAAGAAGCACGTCATAAGGAACGTCATAAAATAATAAGCAGGGAGATTAAAGTGTCTCTCTCGTTCCATTGGTCGAGCGCTGTGGCTACCATGTAGTCGACAAATATATCCATTTCCGGATTGCCTGGGTCGGTATGAGTGCGTACCCACGTGTATGTGTGTGAATAATGTGCATGGAGAGAAAGATGGGAGTGAGAGAGAGAGAAAGAAAAAGTGTGTGTATGACATATTACGAACAAATATTTTAGAAAGAGAGTGGTCGAAATTTGAATGGAGCGTCTCTGCGACAGTCTTTTTTTTTTTCCCTGAGCTACGTTCGAAAACGTATCTTTATGTCGTCCTGCATACATTTTCGTAAGAGAACGCCACAAAGAGTCTCGTGCACACACTAGAAGTTAAATAAAAAAAAGGCAGCTGTTTCCACGTCGGAGTATATAGCAATGAAGTTATTTAATTCAAGGAAGTTAGGCGCTCGCGCGCGTGATGAACTAAACACGAATAAATAATAAAATTGTTCTCCAATCAATTCCGATTTAATTTCGTTTAATAGGAATGTTAACTCGAAATTGAAATTTAACATTGAAGAGATTACAATTATAATGATTTTCAATCACATTTTCGAAGAAAAATAGGTTCCAGATTTTTTAAGAGATATAGTAAGAGTAGTGTTATACATCGTAAATGCTTCACTAAATTGCGTTACGAAAATTAAACAGTTAAATAATTCAGCATCGTTGTCGATGGATCACCAACATCATGCGTCAAATAAGTAAATGACTGTTTTCGAATAGGGAGGACTGGATCAACTGTGGAACGACGTTCTCGAACGTAGCTTCACATCCTCACATCTGTTCGAAGCGTCCACTCTCTGAGCGTGGAACAAAGGCAAGAAAACTATAAAAGCACGACATGCGAAACATATGTCTAATAATGAATGGTTTTGTGTATGTACATATTAATATATAAATATATATATACATATATTCGCATATTGTAAAACACCGTGATAGGAAAGAGGAGCCACTGCTACACGCTACACGATATTACGCAATGTGTAAACGGTGAATACTTATAAATACTAATTTTTAGATAACGGCGCGCTCTAAATGCAAAACAATACACCATATACATATATAAATATTATACATATAAATATATATATATATATATATATACATAGATATATATGAAGCGTACAAGCAGTATGTGCATTTTCCAGCACAGATAGTTGGTATTTTGTGTACAAAACTGAAAAACAATTGTTGGACATTTTGTGGACGCGCCGAGTTCGAAGCCGCGCATCGTGACGGAGGCGAAGGGATGAAATTAACGTCTCCGTTACAATCGCATTGTCGAACGATTGAACAACGAGACGATTGGCCGATCGACGGCGCGGAACGGCACGAACGCGCGTCGCGAACCATCGACCCTGTAGTTACTTCATGTATTGTCATCCCATCTGAATATAATGATATTAACGTCCAAGTTTAGCGCATTCTCTCTCTCTCGTTCGCATCCTGCTCGACGACGCGCATCCGAACCGTTCCTTTTTCGTGTTTCGCACCGCGCATAAGCGAATTCCGTTTATTCTGCAAAATAAATCCCAAAACGTGTTGACATTAATTTCCTACATCCTTCAGACAATTCTTTAAAATTCTAATAAACCTTCGACACTTAAACAAAAAACAAAATATCCTATCTAAAAATATATAAATCTCTCGTAACGTTTTCCGAAAGAAACAAAGCTAAGAAGTTATCCCGCGGTTTGCAGAATAGCGGAAGTCCAGCATGCGGGCTGTAAAAAGAAGAATGAGAAAGGAAGGAGTTTCGCAATTGAACCGTGAAAACGGATGTGTGGGGTCTACTTGTATCATAGCATCTTTACTAGTGAAGCATTGTAACGACAGTAACAATAATAAGGAATCATAGTAATTTAAGAGTGAGCGCGAGAGGAGAGGAGCGCTTGAGGGAGAGAGTGTAGATGCGACGGTGCGAACCGGTGGTTCTCCAGTTTTCCAACCCTTTCCGCGACACTGAGGAACCTCCGGTCCTGCGACCGCGAGAATAGGCTTAGGGCACCTTCGCGCGGGATACTCGTTGCACGAATCCTCCACTCGCGGACTCGAATCTGCCAAAGGGAAAACGCGCAAATGTCGTCGGGGGTCGTATACGGGATGTCCGCTTGAGGAGGACAAATCAATCGGTACCGAGTATCCGGCGCAAAGGGCGAGCCTAGAGATTTTTACCAAAATGACTCCACGCCACGCGAGGTGAAGACAGTTAGACATAATTCGTTCCGTTTTTCGCGAATGAAAACTCGCGGTCTGTGACGGAGGAGCGATCGGGAAAGGAGCAGCGTTCGGGAGTTCCGCTGGCGCGATCACTCGGAATGAAATTTTGCATTTTTTCCGTGCGCGATCTCGCAGATCCTTATCCCGGCTTCTTTTGTCGCAATCGCAGTACGTCGTATGGTATAATCGTCGTTTCCGGAACGTGCGATGGGTGTGCAAGGTGTGCGACTCCGCCTTCGTGGAGGATGAAATGATCTCCCTACGTCTTTTTTATTATCGCGCATTTCGCCCGGACGCGAGGATTATCGATAGGAAAATGATTCGAATGTTTAGTTTAGAAGAGAGAATTTTAGAATTTCCTTTTTTTTTAAAAACCAATGCGCACAGAGGCGCTTGAATAATTATTTGGCGCTAGCGACGACTAGCGATGTAACTATTCGCGCCTCGCGTCGCCGCCGCATCATTTTAACTTACGTTCGCATTGTTTTTAAGAAACGTCACTACACGCGTTCTCGCACGCGCGAAGCGTGCGCTTTTCTTTCCACTCAGTTCGTCCGCCGATATTAGCGTCGTTCGGTTCGGAACATTCGGCCAGTGATCGACCGCTGACGCGTTGCACGGGACGTAATTTGGAAAAAAATTGTATTATATATCGAAACCGAAAGATCCTCTATATGTAAGAATAATGATGTATATATATATATTATTACACACGGTAAATTTGGATTAATTGCACTCTCGAGAGATGAGCTGCCCCGCTGATCCAATGAAAGAATCAAGACGCACCGAGAAGCGGAGAATGAGATAGAAGAAGAAATGAAGAAATTCACAATTTATAAATATATATAAATATATATAAAAAAAATATATTTATGTATACGTATAAAAGAGAAAAGAGCACGTTGTTCTCACATTCATTTCGAAAGACGCTGCGTTTCTGATCCAGACCCATTTTTGTTTCGTTGTTAGTTTGTACGCACTACGATTATCGCAACTTATTGTATTATCGACGAGATACTGTAACAAACAAAAATACTGTTAACTATTCTTAAAAAAATTAAAACTTTTGTAAACTGAGACCAAACGGTTGACGAAGCCTTTACTTATTTGTGGATTCCTTTTTCAGATGTTTGAATGGCTCTTCCGAGTTTTATACCGAATTCACACGTATACAGCGTGCACAAATCAAACACATGGAAAAGTATACGAAAAGTACGATAAATCAAATTGAATTTTGAAATGCTCCATTATTATCGCTTGACTTGGCAATAATATTCTGATCTAAATCAGGCAAGTATTTAATCCAGTATTCGGGGGATTATTCGGGAAAATGGATAGACTTTTTTGAGGTTCAAAAGATGCCAAAATTTAATAAAAATCAAGATACTTTTATTCCATATAATATATTATTTAATTCCATTACGCATGAGAAATGTACTAAATTGAATTTTATTTATAAATTCTCTTGTCTGTGAAAAATTCTATCCTACAATGAGATTCATTATATGGATTATAAAATTTGAATATGTCATTTTAAATGTTCAATCACTTCTTTATGTAAAAAATTATTCGTGCATATAAAAAATAATTCTGTTTGCGCACTTTTCGTCTCAAAGTGTGTGCGTGTAGATTTAGAAAACAGTACACATTACATATATATATATATGAGATCATTGATGACTCGTTCGCGTAGTATTATCGCCAGGAAAAGATTCAAAAATTGAAAATTTTTGATCGAAATGACGCACTCTTTGTTGCTGTTTCTTGTCGATTTTTTATTCCTAAAATCCGGAATGGTGATTCCTACAGATGACAAAAAATAGCAAATAATCTTAATTATGGAATCTTAAACTATTATTGTTTTTCTAGCAAAAATTTAATTTAAAAAATGCTCATCATTTTTTATTTAGTCTCTAGCGCGTTATCAAAATGAAACACACAATTTCTTTTTATAAGTAATTTAGATATTTTAAATGTCCTACATTACGAAAAATTTTCAACGTTTTCATGATTATTTTATTCATATAAATTTATTTCTTGAGCAGAAATGCCTCGTAAACGTTGAACAAAATTTTTATGCACTATAAATTGTCTAATTTTTCCGCAGTATGCAAATATATTTTTCCTTTTGAATGACTAGGAAAGACAAAATTATTATCTGAAGCGTAATAATTACCTTTTTCAGCATATAACTTTGGATATCATAGCCCATGTAAAAAGCGATCCTCTGAAGGCCGAGAAGAGTTCGGAGTCTCAAACGAGGCTCAGGTTGTAAGAGACGTTTCAAAAGATCTCTCGCTGCTGGTGAAATATTCGCATTCGCCGGTAAAATTCCTGGTACATTCGCGCAATTCAGATCATCCCGGGCGATTCTGTCGGCAGGCAAAAGGTCTGACGACAACATGGATGGATACTGCAATAAAAGGTTGTGATACTTGCAATCGGTTCTTCCAATTTTAATTCCCTGTAAAATAATAATTCTACGACTGATCCTATCAATGATTATTATTTTCTGACACTATGTACGCTGTTTTAATTGCTGAAAGCAACTTATAATTAACGATGCTTGATTTCTATTCAATTATTTGTAACAATTCAATAGCTAAATTGTCCGAAAGAAGGATCGATATAACAGCGCTTAGAATTCTGTTATAAAACAAAAATTCTGTGGAGACGAAATTTAGTCATTAATTAGCGGTCGTGCACCCGCGCTCAGGACCAAAAGAGTTTGCGGAAGGACCTTTTCGTCGCGGCCGCAGAAGCTGGAGGAGGGTCATAAATATCTTCTTTTACGAGAGGTAGGCCGGTAAACTAGAGAAGCTATTACCAATGTGTGGATTCCGGCCTGTCTAGGCGCGCTTGTACGCTCGTCGGCTCCGGCATACTACACAGGTACATACACAGGCAGGGTCAACGGCCACTCACGACCCCCAACCTATTCGCTCGTTCATGTTCCCTCCACCGTGTGGTACGACCTCACACGACCTCACACGCCGCCTCGGCGCGAGTGCGTCCCCGCGGCCAAGTGTGGATTTCTTCGCGCAGCTTTGTAACACGCGCGTTGAGACTCGCGCCGAGTTTCGCGCGTGTCAAACGTGCAAAACGGGACCCACTGGACGTTCCCTTTGTTGCAGCCGAGATTGTTACGCGACGCGGTGGCGAAACATTACCGCACGTGCTCGCGTTCGCGCGGAGAGAAATGGCTTTCGAACGGTGCATAGACGTTGTCCGACGGTGTTTATGCGGTATCGGAGGTATCTCGATTTTACGTAATCCTCTCGCGGGAGACGAGTGTAATAGGAAAGCGATTTGCCTCTCAGAGTTATCAGGATTGTTAATAAACTAGCGACTTTTAATATTCTGATCGTAGATTTCCGTCGTTTAGATGTTAAACGCGACTCTCCGGAATCTAAAGTTGACTTGGACATCCGAACCGAAGTAGTAGAAAGGTGCTAAAAGAAACACGTTTCCCTCGTTCTGTACGACATATAGCTTCGAGAATTAATAAGCCTTCCCGAAGAGAATTATTCCGCGAGGCCCAGCTCAAACCCCCCCTTCCCCGCTGTGTAAATTTTATTAATTTCCATGCAGATCTGCCTCTCTCCGTGGTTCCTCGGCAAAATATGCGCACACTAATCGCTAATTAGCATCGATATTGTCCGCGTATTGCTTATCACGTCGTTGTTTATGAGCGAACGAGAGGTGAGGAGAAGCACGAAGCTCGTTCAGGTCGTTGGACCACGCGCGTTGGATCCCGATCGCGCTCGGCGCGGACTTGGCGAACGGGATATTTCAATTCGATCTCGCCGCGGGAACCTTGACCGAGAATAACGGTACGGAATGATCGTTACGAGATCGTAGACAGTAACGTATGGCTTTTAACGCCACCGCCGCCGCTTCTTATGCATAGATCGGTCGACCTGTCCGCCTCGTCGGCGCCGCCGTTCACGGCGTCCCGTCCGATCGATGATGCTGCGAGCGAAGAAGCGAAAGAGCGAGACACGACGACGGGAAATTTGACCATGTTAATTGCATTTTAACTGCCCAATTTTCTTCATATTTAATTGAAGCTTCTCAAAATATATGATACGTTTGAGACGTCGAGGCATTGCTGCCCAAGTGCACGAGCGGATAAACGTTAACGAGTTGACGATACGCGTTCTTCAGTGGCAAGACATTGTGATCCATAACGATCATGCGGATCGAGTTATAATATTCGCGCTGATGCCTCCGAAACACAATTTTGCAAGCAAGGCACCAGAAATGAAAAAAGCATCTTTTTCTCTGATTTAGAAAAAAAAATAAAATCAATTCGATTCCTTCACATTTCTTCATTAAAACGAAGTTCAATCAAGGATTATCTCATTATTGATGTCGCGATCAGCAGCAATGGATCTGCGAAAAGTTCGGAGTCAATAAACTCGTCTGTGCGCGGCCGCAACCTTTCTCTTCGCTGGTTTGCCGGCGGAAGAAAAAAAAAGGCGCGGAATGATGTATACACGGATCTTTGTGCTACGTTATGCTAAATGTAAACGTACCGCGTTCACCCGTGGATTCCACTCGGCGCGCCTCGGGCAGCTAATTGTTGAGCAAACTCGAGCTTCTGCCTGGATCCAAGCGCGCCGCGGATACGTTCGTTAGCACCGTACACTTCTCGCGGCCTTCGCCCGCGAATAATGTGTATCGAAGACGTTTAGAGAACGTGAATCTTATTATTTCTCGAGTGTACGGATTACTTGAGATACAAAACTTCTTCGTTCAAGCTTTAGCATGTAAAACGGCCGAGATTTTGTCGCGAAAACGAGACAAGCGGGATGGAAGAAGCGTAAGCGCATCTACGAAGCTTCTCATGAGAACTTTCGCGTCCCACGGAAAGTGACCGTTGCGATCATTATGGTAATTAAGGCGTTGAGAAAATGAGGTGCGGATTTTAAGATCGGGCAGGTTCCGTTAATGAACGTGTTTCCCGCTATGGGAAAAACGCCGTGATTCTGCAAGGAAATCTTGAAGAAATAAATATCTTTTCGGAGCATCCGCTACACAATTAAATACATTAATACGCAAAAGATTGAGTCGCGTGAATGTAATTGGAAAGAATATTTTAACGATTATATAAATTAGGAGCTATCTTTAGCGATTATATATAATTTAGAATAATTATGCAATATACAATAATTAAGAATTTTTCAGCAGACGATAATTAATATTCATATAATTTTTTGTATCTCACGCAATTATTTTTTCATGTTATACTTGTTTTCAAAGAGTTAAGTCTACAAAATCGAACCCCGAAATATCTGAATGGATAAAGTTATTAGAGAGTCGTCTTAATTCAAATCACGCATCGATCCGTATAATAAGAGATTTGCGAAAGAGAGAAGACCGATGAAGCGAAGGATGCGCGAGATCGAGAGCTGATAATGCGAAGGATCGATAGAACAAAGAACGCCGCAAAGATGGACGGAACAAAGGATCTTCGCTGTCACGGGGCTGTACATCCAGCAATCTCGCGAGACAGACCACGGACGGGCATGGACGTACGGAGTTCGTTCGAGTGAACAAAGGAGGAGCGCGGAGGAGCGTCTAATCGGATCGAGAGACGAGAGATTGCGTCGATCAAACCTCGGCGGAAGACGTACTCGGGACACAATGCGAGCGTCATAGAAGAAGCGCGATCGGTATTGCGGTGCGCAGGACTCGTTTCTTGTCGGGGTGCATCGACCAGGGGGCCGGTTCTATTCCCGGCACGACGATGACGGTGTTCTCTCACGGCGACGTCCGTGTGCCGTCGCGCGAGAAGGTAAAATCTACGGATGAAGAGTCTCGCGAATTAAGAATCCATCACCGGTATCGGCATCGAGGAAGAGGACGTGAGAATATCCCCGACGCCAAGCTTGGGGGCTCACTAAATATTTTATAGCTTATAGCTTGTCTCTCACGTTGCAATATGTGACGGCTGTGACGCTGTCGGATGGATTATGCAAATCCTCTAAGCGCTAAAGCTGGCAGAAAGATGAGGAGTGAATCTTAGATCCATAAAACGCATGCAAAAAATCTTAAAAGAAGAAAAAGTCAATCAGTAAGTTGGAAATAAGAGAATATGATCGATTAAAAATTCAGGCAACGCTCTCAAGAACGATAGGCGAAGAAAATATCCGTCGGAGCACCTACAAGCGCGGCTATAAATAAACTTTATACCCGTGCCGTCATCAGGATCGAGTCATCTTCTTCTAACAGTACACGCAATTAGAGCTGCTCAATTACACGCTACACTCATCACGCCGCAATCGACGCCGATGTACGTGGAGAAGAGGATCGCGAGGTTCTCGTGAAATCGGAAGGGGAGACAGAGGGAGACGACGGACGGGGAGAAAAAAGGAGAGGCGTGCAACGGGGAGAGAGATGGGAGAAGAGAAAAAGCGGAATAACAGCCACGGGGATGCGGTGCAAGGAAAAGAGGAGGCTCGTGGAAAGAGGAAGAAAGACCGGTCTCGTAGTTAGCACACGGCGGACATTAACTTCCCATTAACCACCTGCCATTAGATGGGGGAGAGGGGCCCCGAAGGGGGGCCCGGGAGAAGGCCCACTGCGCGCTGGCGCCAGGAGTAATCGTCGGGGCGCGTATTAGGCGCCTCATGCAAAACCTGCGTGCAAAAGCTCCTGTCTATTTATAAAGCTGCCTTGCGGCACAGCCGCGATAAAATCCCTTTCGACGATGATCGCGATAAGAAGAAGGAAAACGTCGATCGATACGACGCACGCGATCGGACAACGGCATCGGCGGAAGTTATACGACCTCTTCTTCAGAAAAGAATTGTTTGATTATTTAATTGTTTAATCACCATCGATTCACTTTTTGTTTCGATAATTTCTCTTACAAAACTTATAATGTTATCTTGTAAACATTAATTGCGCACTTTTGAAGATTCTGTTGGGTCTCGCTGATTTTATAAAACTTATACCGCAGGTATAAGGATAAAAACAAATTTTAAAGTAATTTATCAAACGTCCGCTTTTATCTGTCCGTACATGTCTCGATTGAACTACTCGCATGTATTTATATTCTACGTTCTATATTCAGTTAACCGTGATAAATCAGGTATCGCGATATTAATCTTCGATATTATCCGAATAACGGGCTGATAATCGCTCTTCCAATCTACATGCCGTTGTTCTCTCTCCTTCCTTTTTCCTCAATGATCATTCCATCGGTTGTGAAAGACACAGTGAGAACGTTTGACGCTTATAGGCGAGGATGTCGAAAAAGGGAGGAGCGAAACGTGGAGAGTCGAGTGCAATAATAATCGGCCGGTCTAACCGTGCAATAATTATGCCCATCTGTGGAACGGATATCTCGCGGGCCGCTTATATGTGATAGCAGAAGCCGCGTATATACCGCAGATAATAATCTAT